CTGGGTCCCCTGCACATCTCCCATTGCCACCGTGGCTCCTGTCACTGCCTCGGGGGTTCTGCTGTCACCTCGGGTGCCACCACCACTGTGTCCCACAGCTGTCACCAGCTGGCACCGGGGGGACACAGGGAGGGGTGACAGGCAGGGCACTCCCCAGCTGGTGCCACGCCGTGCCCTTGGGTGACACGGGCTGCAGGTCCTTTGGGGACACTCCTGTGCCAGCGGGGTGTCCCCAGCCAGCAGGGGGGACACCAGTGCCACAGGATGTCCCTGTCCTGCGTGGGTCTGAGTGTCCCTTTAAGTGCCACGTCCCCATGCCAGTGCCAGCAGTGTGGCTTTTTTGCTGGCCACCACGTGACACGTTGTTTGTCCGGTGTCCTGGGCTGCTGCCAGCGGGATCCGGCCGTGCCACCCCATCACAGCCCCAGCCCCATCAGAGGGGCAGTGTCCCCAGGTGTCCCCAAGTGCCAGCAGTGCGGTGGGACAGTGACTCTGGTGCAGCAGATTTTGGGGTGGGGGCCTGGGCTGAGGGGTGCCAGCCCCTGGCCCTGCGTGGTGCCACCTGGGGTCACTCTGCTTGGGGGTGCCAGCTGGGGGATGACCGTGTCCCCCCAGGTACGTGCAGAGCCTGCTGGACATCATGGAATTCCACGACAGGGACCCCGAGGACCAAGCCACGCTGGGACAGTGAGTCGGGAGGTGACGGCGTGTCCTTGTCCCCAGTCCCGGGGTGTCACCTCCTCCCAGAGCCGCGCTGGTGTCACCCTGAGGTGCCACAGGAGCCCGCTCCGGGTTTTGGCAGTGCCTGCAGCTCCCGGGGATCCTGGCCTGGAGCGGGGCTGTGCCCGGGGCGGGTGTCCCCAGCACTGTCCCTGTCCCTGTCCCTGCACAGGTGTCCCTAGCACTGTCCCTGTCCCTGTCCCTGCACAGGTGTCCCCAGTACTGTCCCTGTCCCCAGCACTGTCCCTGTCCCTGTGCAGGTGTCCTCAGCACTGTCCCTGTCCCTGTGTGGGTGTCCCCAGCGCTGTCCCTGTCCCTGCGTGGGTGTCCCCAGCACTGTCCCTGTCCCCAGGATTGTCCCTGTCCCTGTGCAGGTGTCCTCAGCACTGTCCCTGTCCCTGTGTGGGTGTCCCCAGCGCTGTCCCTGTCCCTCTGTGGGTGTCCCCAGCGCTGTCCCTGTCCCCAGCACTGTCCCTTCCCCTCTGGGGGCGCCCCCAGCGCTGTCCCTGTCCCTGTGCGGGTGTCCCCAGCGCTGTCCCTGTCCCTGCGTGGGTGTCCCCAGCGCTGTCCCTGTCCCTCTGTGGGTGTCCCCAGCGCTGTCCCTGTCCCCAGCACTGTCCCTGTCCCTCTGTGGGTGTCCCCAGCGCTGTCCCTGTCCCTGCGCAGGTTCACCAACGCGCTGGTGACAATCAGGAACCGGCACAACGACGTTGTCCCCACCATGGCGCAGGGGGTGATCGAGTACAAGGAGACGTACGGGGACGACCCCGTGTCCAACCAGAACATCCAGTACTTCCTGGACCGCTTCTACCTGAGCCGCATCTCCATCCGCATGCTCATCAACCAGCACAGTGAGCTTGGGGGCTGCCGGCCCGGGGGTCCCAGAGCCCCCCGAGGGTCCCCAGGGGTCTGTCCTGAGGGTCCTACCAGCCCCAGGGGTCTGTCCCAGTGGTCCCCCCATCCCCAGGGGTCTGTCCTGAGTGTCTGCACCAACCCCAGGGGTCTGTCCCAGGGGTCCCCACCAACCCCAGGGGTCTGTCCTGAGGGTTCCCCCATCCCCAGGGATCTGTCCCAGGGGTCCCCCCCAACCGCAGGGGTCTGTTCTGAGGGTCCCCATCATCACTGGGTGTCCCCAGGGGTCTGTCCCAAGGGTCCTCCCAGCCCCAGGGAGCTCCTCAAGGTTCTCCCTGCCCCAAGGGTCCTCTCCTAACCCCAGGGGTCTGTCCTGAGGGTCCCCACTAACCCCAGGGATCCTGTCTTGCACGTCTCCCCAGTGTCAAATGTTTCCCCCCACAGCCCCAGGGTGCCCTGGGGGTGTCCTGGGGGTCCCTGGGGGTGTCCCTGGGGTGCCCCCAGCTCGCTGTCCCCTCCCCAGCCCTGCTCTTCGATGGCAGCACCAACCCTGCGCACCCCAAACACATCGGGAGCATCGACCCCCACTGCAACGTGGCCAACGTGGTGAGAGGTTGGTGGGCTCTGGGGTCCCACCCCCACAGCGGGGGCACTTGGGGGGTGGGGTTTGCTTGAAAGTCCCCCTGGTGCCACTCGCATCACACGTTTGGGGTGGCCTCAGCCACACTGTCCCCTGAGCTGTGCAGTCGGTGCAGGAGACGCCAGGAACGTCCCCAGGATCTGTGGGAATGGGGAACGTTTGGGGGTGGGGGACCCCAAAGGAGTCCTGGGGGTGCTGAGCCCTCTGTCCCCCCCTTTGCCAGACGCCTACAACATGGCCAAGCTGCTGTGTGACAAATACTACATGGCCTCGCCTGAGCTGGAGATCGAGGAGGTCAACGGTGAGGGGACAGTGGCAGTGAGGGGACAGCGGGGCTGAGGGGACAGGGGGCTGAGGGGACAGCAGGGCTGAGGGAACAGTGGCAGTGAGGGGACAGGGGGGGCCCAGGCAGGGGGATCGTGGGTGGCTCCTTTGGGGTTGGGGATTCTCGGGTGGTTCCTTTGGGGTTGGGGACCCTGGGGCAGGAGGATTTTTGTGTGGCTGGTTCTGGGTCCCTATTTCAGGGCGTTCTCAGCTTCTTTAGGGTTGGGGTCTCTGTGGCAGGGGGATATTTGGCTTATCTAGGTGTGGGGGTCCCTGTGGTGGGGGGATTCTCGGGTGGCCCTTTCAGAGCTGGGGCAGGTTTAGGGTCAGGGTTGTCCCCCCCAATGCCAGTGTCCCCCCCAGCCTGCAACGCTGAGCAGCCCGTGAGCATCGTCTACGTCCCGTCCCACCTGTACCACATGCTCTTCGAGCTCTTCAAGGTAGCCCAGCCCTTTGGGGGGGGTCCCGGGGGGCTGTGGGGCACCCCCTGACCCCCCCGGGGCTCTGTGTCCCCAGAATGCCATGAGAGCCACGGTGGAGAGCCACGAGAACAGCCCCCGGCTGCCGGCCATCAGGGTGATGGTGGCCCTGGGCCAGGAGGACCTGTCCATCCGGGTGAGGGACCCCAGCCCGCCCTGGGCAGGGGGGATGTGGGGAGGGGGCGCAGGAGCAGCGTTGTCACCTGCTCTGGTGTCCCCAGATGAGTGACAGGGGCATGGGGGTGCCCCTGAGGAAGATCGAGCGGCTCTTCAGCTACATGTACTCGACAGCCCCCACCCCCCAGCTGGGCTCCGGGGGGGCCCCCCTGGTACGTGACCCCCCCCCAGGGGCTGGGGACCCTCGTGGGGAGGGGGACAGGGAGAGGGGGCTGCAGCTGAGGGGGGCTGGGGAGGTTTGGGGGTCGTTTGGGGACCTGGAGTGGCAGGGGGTGCTTTGGGGGTGGCATGGGGAGGTTTGGGGGTGGTCGGAGGGGCCTGGGGGGGTTTTGGGGGGGATTGGGGTGGGCTGGAGTGGCACTGGGAGGTTTCAGCTGGCCTGTGACATTTTGGGGATGTTTAGGGTGGCATGGGGACATTTGGTGGCATGTGGGTGCTTGGAAGTGGCACAGGGACACTTGGGTAGGCTTGGATGTGATGTGGGGATGCTTTGGGGTGGCATGGTGACATTTTGGGGTGACAGGGGGACCCTTTATGGTGGCATGGGGACCCTTTATGGTGGGAGGGGGACCCTTTATGGTGGCATGGGGACACTTCAGGCTGGCACGAGGACACCTTGGGGTGGCATGGGGACACTTTGGGGTTACAGTGGGACCCTTTAGGGTGGCATGGAGACCCTTTATCATGGCATGGGGACACTTTGGGGTGGCACGGGGACACTTTGGGGTGGTGTGGGGACACTTTGAGTGGCATGGGGACCCTTTGACCGTGCCCCCGTGACCGCTGGCAGTGCCAGGGACACTCCTGGCACTTCTCGGGGCACTGTGGAGAGGCCGGGGGTGCCCTGGGGGTGCCCCCCCAGTCCTGGGGACCCCCCCACCCCAATCCCCTGTCCCCCCCAGGCCGGCTTTGGCTACGGGCTGCCCATCTCCCGCCTCTACGCCAAGTACTTCCAGGGGGACCTGCAGCTCTTCTCCATGGAGGGCTTCGGCACCGACGCCGTCATCTACCTGAAGGTGGGTGCCTGTCCCCAGAGCTGCCCCTGGGGGGGCTCAGGACCCTCGCTGAGCCCCCTGTGCCCCCCAGGCGCTGTCCACGGACTCGGTGGAGCGGCTGCCCGTGTACAACAAGTCGGCGTGGCGGCACTACCAGGCCAGCCAGGAGGCGGGGGACTGGTGCGTGCCCAGCACCGAGCCCAAGAACACCTCCACCTACCGCGTGCCCTGAGCCCCCCCGGGCCCCCCGGGACCCCTCAGCCCCACCCTCGAGGAGTCCCCGAGTGCCCCGGGGGGTGTTTGGCATCCCGGTTCTTTGGGTTCCTCGGGAAGTGTGGGATGTGGGTGTGTCCCGGTGTCCCCGCCGTGGTGGCACTTGGGGACGGAGCCGGGGGGGTTGGAGCAGCGCCTGTTGTTCCCTCAGCGCCCCCCCAAAGTGCCCACCCGCCCCCGGGGTGCCCCCATCCCAGCAAGGGACTGGTTCTGTCCCAGTAGGAGCAGTGGCACTTCCCTGCACCCTGATGGGGTGGGGGGACCTGACCCCCCCCCCCCCCCCCCCCCCCCTGTCCCCCCCCCCCACCCTGTCCCTCCCCTTCCCCAAATTCCCCCCTGACCCCTCCCCACCGTCAATAAATTGGATGTTGACCGAGCCCCTGTGGTTCTTTGGGGTCCTGGTGCCTCAGTTTACCCCTCCAGCCTTGCGAGGGGGCTGAGGCTTCAGCCTGGGGGTGGCAGCTGGGGACATGGAGCCTGGGGAGCTGCTGTGTGCCCACAGTGAGGTGACACTGCCACTCTGCTTTGCACTGGCCCTTGATACCCTTTTATTTCCTGGGGTGGCCTCGGGGGGCCACGTTTGGGGCTGGGAGGGGGGCCGGGGTTCACTCCCCGCCCCCGATTTGGGGGTGCCCTTGTGGGGAGGGGGTCGGGCCACGCCCTGTCCCCTCCTGTGCCAGCGGTGCGGGGTGGGGTGGTGACAGGTGGGGGTGACAGGACGGGCTGGGGGTGCCCAAGCGCCCTCCGGAAAGGGGCGCGGGGGGAGCCGCTGTCCCTCGGCCGTGCCCCGTGTCCCCGGGGGGCTGTGGGTGGGGAGGGGGTGCGGGGACCCCCGCGTTCAGCTCCGCCGCTGCTCCTGCTCCTTCTTCCTCTGCTTCTCGCGCTGCTTTTCCGCCTTGTCGCGGGCCTTGCGCTGCCGCTCGGCCGCCAGGCTCAGCTCCTTCAGCCGCCGCTTGAGCACCGCGCGGTCCTGCGAGCTGCCCACGCCCAGCGCCTGCGGCACCGCGGGCTGGCCAGCGCCCCCCGCGCCCCCTGCCCCGGGGGCAGCCCCCCGGGACCCTCCCCCGACAGCCTTGGGGGTCCCAGAACCGCCCGTCCGTCCCTTGGGATACCCCGAGCCTCCTGCCCCGTGGAGCGGCCAGCTCGGACAGCGGGGTTTGGATACCCGTGGAGACCCCCTTTGGGGCTGAACCCTCCCAGACCTTCCTGCCCCATGGAATTGGGGTACCCCAAACCCTCCCAGACCTTCCTGCCCCATGGAATTGGGGTACCCCAAACCCTCCCAGACCTTCCTGCCCCACGGAATTGGGGTACCCCAAACCCTCCCAGACCTTCCTGCCCCATGGAATTGGGGTACCCCAAACCCTCCCAGACCTTCCTGCCCCATGGAATTGGGGCACCCCGAACCCTCCCAGACCTTCCTGCCCCATGGAACTGGGGCACCCCGACCCATCCCAGACCTTCCTGCCCCACGGAATCCCCCCCTGGAGGACCCAGCACCTCTCGCCCCCCATCTTTAGGGGTCCCTGGAGCCCCCCCGGCCCCGCACCTTGAGCTTGGCCCCGTCGAGGAGCAGCAGGCGGGGCCCGTCCACGCCGCGCTCGGCGAAGTCCCGCACGTAGCGCTCCAGGCCCAGGCTCTGCAGCCACTGCCCCACCTGGCCGCACGTCCAGCCCGCGGCCGCGCCCGCCGGCTCCTCCAGCAGCTGCGCACGGGGGTCAGCCGGGGGTCCCCGGGCCACCTGGGGGGGGGACACCCCCGGCCCCGCGCCCCCCGCGCCGCGCTCACCTCGTCCGAGGACTGGGACAGGGTGTGGTAGGGGTACGAGCACCTGGGGGGGCCGGGCAGGCGGGGGCTGGCGCTGGATGGTGGCGAATCCTCGCTCAGCTCAGAGTCCTGGGCAGAGGGAGGGGCAGGGCTGGACCCCCAGCGACACCCAGAGCCACCCCACAGCCCCCCAGGGGACCCCCAGAGCCACCCTGGGGACCCCCAGAGCCACCCTGGGACCCCCAGAGCCACCCCAGGGACCCCCAGAGCCACCCCACAGCCCCCCAGCGACCTCCAGAGCCACCCCAGTGACCCCAAGAGCCACCCCAGTGACTCCCAGAGTCACTCCACAGCCCCCAGTGAACCCCAGAACTACCCCAGTGACCCCAAGAGTCACTCCAGGGACCCCCAGAGTGAACCCCAGTGACCCCAAAAGCCCCCCAGTGACCCCCAGAGCCACCCCACAGCCCTCAGCGACCCCCTGCAGCCCCCCACTTGGGCTGCCAGACCCCTCAGAGCGTTGATTCCCCTAAAGCCCCCCCGACCATTTTGGGCTTTGGACACCCCCAATACCTGTCCTGACTCTCCAGGGCTTTGTCACCCCTAAAAAGCCACCCGGATCCTGTGGGGTTTCGAGTCCTCTCCCCGCTGTCAGCTGACCCTATGGGGCATTGTCCCCCGTCCCCAGAGCTGGTGTCACCCCCTGTCTGAGAGCCCAGGGGTCCCGGGCCTGGCGCTCACCTGCGAGGCGGATTTGGCGGGGCTGAGCCCCTCGTGCCGGGGGGAGCCCGCGGGGGACGCGGGGCCGGGCGAGCCGGAGCCCCTGGCGCTGTCCGAGAACCACGAGAAGGGCAGGAACGGGGACCCCGAGGGGCGGCCGGGCCCCTCCGCCGCCTCCCTGGGGACGGAGCGGTGTCAGGAGGTGTCCCCAGGCTGTCCCCGGGCTGTCCCCAGGCTGTTCCCAGGCTGTCCCCGGGCTGTCCCCCTGTCCTGGGGGCAGTCCCTCACCTGCTGCCCATGGACAGGCGGTTGCTGCTCTTCTCCTTGCGGCTCTTCGCAGAGGACGCCCGGCGCAGGGTCACCCTGGGGACAGGGGTGGTGACCTGAAGTGGGGGGCATCAGGACCCCCTCCCTCCCTCTCCTTGTCCCCTCCGTCCCCTCCCGGCCCTCCCCCCTGCCCAGGGCGAGCTCTCACCCCAAATCCAAGAACTTCCTCCGCGTTTTCTTGTCGAGCCCCACGGTGGGGCTGGCGGGCGAGGGGGGGCTCATGTCCCGGCTGTCATCTGCAGGGGTGGCACCGGGCTGTCACCCGCTGTCCCCCCCAGGCGTCCCTGGGGGGCTCGGGGGGGGTCTCACCTTCGCTGTGCTGCCGGGGCCGGGGGTCGCGGCGGGCGAAGCCAGGGGAGCTGTCAGAGCTGGACTGGGGCGCGGGGGGGCCCGAGAGCCCCTCCTGGGACGGGGTGTTGGTGAGGGGCCGGTAGCGGCTGAGGGGGGGCGTGGGGGCCGGGGGGTCCCCCAGGCCCGGCCGTGCCACCCCCGGCTCGAAGGAGAAGCCATCGGTGCGGGAGAAGGGCGAGGGGGCCGGGGGGCTGCCCTCGCCCTCAGTGCCCTGCGGGGGCATCGCAGGGGGTCAGAGCCCTACAGCCCCCCGGGGTCGTCCCCTAGACCACCTTCCGTGCCCCCCACCATGGCATCCCCCAACCCCATCCGATGATGGATGGATGGATGATGGATGATGGATGGATGGATGATGGAGGGAAGGATGAGCAGGGAGGAGGGGACAGGGAAGCAGAGGCAGGTGGACAGACAGGGAAGGCCAGTCCAGTGAAGAGGGGACAAAGGGACAGAGGGACAGGGACAGGGCAGGAGAGTCAAAGGGCAGGTGGGCGGTCCCAGGAAGACAGGAGGGGGCACAAGGAGAGGAGAGCATTGGGGACATGGATGGGGCACCCCAGTGGGGCAGGACAGGGGACAGGGGGACAGAGAGAAGTGTTCAAAGAGATGGCCCAGCATGGGGACAGAGGAGTGGGTGACCCTGAGGACAGAGTGTTCCTGTCACCCAGGGAGGACATGCTTTTCCCAGGTCCCACTGGGATCCCCCCAGTATCCCCACCCTGCTCTGACCCCTGTACCCCAACCTCCCCGAGGGATGGCTCTGGGCCATGTCCCCTGCTGTGTCCCCAGGTCCCTGTCACCCCCTGTGCCCCCCGTCCGCCATTCCTGTGTGCCCTGGAAGTGTCCCCATGTCTTTGTCACCCCCACACCCCCGTGTGTCCCCATGTCCCCTTCCCCACGCACATCCCTGTGTCCCCAAGCACACACTGTCCCCAAGCCCAGACACGGGAGGACACCGAGAGTGGGTGGGGACCCACGGGTGGCTCCGCACCCCTCGGGGGGTTCTGCACCGCAGCCCCCCCCAGGACTCACCAAAAACCTCGTCCGTGTCCTGCAGCTTGGAGACCGACATGGTGGGACAGGGCTGGGGACAGAGGGGACACTCAGGGAGGGACAGACCGACATGGTGGGACAGCGCTGGGGACACTCAGGGGACACTCGGGGAGGGACCAGCCCCTCTGTGCCTCCCCGTGCCCCGTGGGACAGGGGGTGGGGATCCCTGCTGCAGAGCGGCCAGGAAGGGGTTAAACCCCCCGCCCCCGGTGCCCGGGGAGTCTCGGGGGGGCGGGGGCTCCTCGGGCCTCGGCAGCATCGGGGTGGGGGGGGAATCAGCCCCGGGAGGGGCCGGTACCGGCGGGGGGGCCGGACCGGGGAGGCTGGGCCGGGAATGGGATCCCCGGGGTGGGGCCGGACCGGGAACGCCGGACTGGGAACGAGTCTGGACCGGGAATGTCGAACCGAGGGGATGGGGCTGTCCCGAGGGAGGGGCGCTACCGGGAACGTACCGGAGCTGTACCGGGGGCTGGGGCAGTACCGGGGATTTGGGCAGTGCCGGGAACGTTACCGGGGCTGTGGCTGTACCGGGGCTGTACCGGGGGCTTGGGCAGTGCCGGGGACGTTACCGGGGCTGCACCGGGGGCTGTGGCTGTACCGGGGGCTTGGGCAGTGCCGGGGACGTTACCGGGGTTGTACCGGGGGCTGTGGCTGCACCGGGGACTGGGGCAGTACCGGGGGCTTGGGCAGTGCCGGGGACGTTACCGGGGCTGTACCGGGGGCTGGGGCATTACCGAGGCTGTACCGGAGCCGCTGTCCGGGGGTGACGCCCTGCCCCATCCCCCCCTCCCCACTCACCCGCGCTCCTGGGGCATCCTGATGGGCCCCGCTCGCCTCCCGCCGGGCCGGTGGCGGGGCCGGGCCGGTGGCGGGGCCGGTGGGAGCGGAGGGCGCTGCCGAGCCGCCCCGCCGGGCCGGGGGCCGCGGGGGGGGCACAGGAACCCGGAAACGGCGGGGGCGGCGGGGGCGGGGTCTGCCCCGCCCGGAGCCGAGCGGACACCGGGGGGGCACCGGGGGGACAGCGGGCACGGGCGGGGTGCTGAACGGACAGCGCCGGGGGCACCGGGGGCACGGCGGGCACCGAGGGACACGGGCGGTGCTGAAGGGACAGCGACCGGCGGGATACGGGCACGGCGGTGCCACAGGGTCCCCAGCAGCCCAGGGGCTCCCCCCAGTGCTCCCCAGTGCCCCCCACCCCTCCCTACTCCTTGCCGTGACCCCAAATGATCCCCCCACCCTTCCCGGTGCCCCCCCGCTCCATCCGCCGGCAGAATGAGGCGGGGGGCGAGGCCGAGGCTGCGTTTTTGGGGCGGGGGGCGAGGCCGAGGCTTTGGGGCGGGGGTGGCGGCGGGCGCGGAGAGCGGGAGCGGTGCGTACATAGGTACATTATATATAGTATATACACCCACAGGTACACGTGTGAGATTAAATAACCCCGGCCCCCCCCCGGGGCTCGCGCTCCCCGGCCTCCCCTTCCCAGTATAACCAGCGCTGGCTCCCAGTTGCCCCCACATCCAGTTACTGTCGGAGACTCGGGGGCGGGGGGGGCAAAATAGAAATGAAAATTAAAGGGGATCCCCCCCCGGCCGAGAGGGTGGGACCCCCCCGGCCCGGCTGGGGGTGTCCGAGCCCCAGAGAAATGCTGTGATTTTGGGGGGAGGGGGGGTATTTACAGTGGGGGGGGGAGGAGCATCGCCCCCCTGGGACCCCCGTGTGCCCCCCCGCCCGGGGAAGGCGAAAGCCCCGGGCTGGGGGCGGGGGGCAGCGGGGTGTCCCCACAGAGGGGTGCCAGGCAGCGCCCCCTTCCCGGGGGGGGCAGTGGGGCTGGTGCCCCCCCATCCCCTGCGGGGTTGGCAAAGGCTCGGGGGTCCCCCCTGCCCGGCGGCGGTGGCACTGAGGGGCGAGGGGGGGACGCTCGGGGTCCCCCCCATGGCGATGGTCCCGGGGTCACCTCGGTGTGGGGCTGGGGGCGAGTCCGTGGGGGGGGGCAAAGCCCCCCGGTGAGTCCCAAGAGAAGGAGCTGGGTCTGGGGGGGCTCCCAGTGTCCCCCCCAGCGTGGCTCACATTTAGGGTGGGCTGGGGGGCGGACATTGTCCTGTGTGTCCCTGGGGGACACACTGGGAACACACTGGGGTGACTGGGGACACACTGGGGTGACTGGGGACACACTGGGGGCACACAGAGGTGACTGGGGACACATCGGGTGACTGGGGACATACTGGGGTGACTGGGGGACACACTGGGGACACACTGGGGTGACCGGGGGGCCCACGGGGGGCACAGGGAATGGTTGGGATGGGGAGGGGGCTGCAGGCAGGTGCTGGGTGAGTCTCTGTGGGATGCCAGGGGACATTCTGGGGGTGATGGAGGTGGCTGAGTGAGGGGTGGGCGGGGGCTCTGCTGGCTCTTGGGGACCTCCCCGCTGTGCCCTGGTGCCCCCCGGCCGGGCAGGGCCGGCCCTCCCCTGTGACCCCCCGGGCGGGATCCTTTGGGATCCTCTGGGATCCCTCGGGATCCGCGGGGCCCGTGGGAGATCCAGCATGACCAGCATGGGATCCCAACGGGAGCCGCCCGGCGCCGCTCCCCGGGATCCCGCGGATCCCCCGGGAGACCCCTCTGGCCCCCCAGAGCTGCAGATCCGCCGCGGTCCCGAGCGGGATCCAGGCCCGGGAGGAGCCTCAGGGTGCCCGAGCCGATCCCGAGCCGATCCCGAGCCGATCCCGAGCGATCCCGAGCGACCCCGCGGTCCGGGAGCAGGGCGCGGTGGCAGCAGATCCCCGCGCTCCGGGGCGGGATCCGAGGCTCAGTCCGGAGCTCCGGGGCCGCCCGGCGGGGTCCGGCGGCCGAGCAGATCCCCGGGATCCATCGCTGGCGCGGCGGGGCCGGGCAGGGGGTCAGGGACATCCCGCGTCCCGGCGCCCCGTGCCCACCTTCTCCTGCAGCTTCTCCATCTCCTCCTTGTGCGCCAGCTCCGACTCCTCCAGCACCCGCCGCTGCGCCGTCTCCTTCTTGAGGAACTCGATCTCCCTGCGGGGACACGCAGCTCGGTGCCCGTCCCCACAGCCAGGGGACATCCCGGGGCTCTGGGTGCCAGGGCAGGACCCTGCCGGGCGGGTTGGGGTGCCCGGGTGCTCCCGGAGGAGGGGCCGTGCCCAGGGATGCTCAGAAGGAGCTGGTGCCCCGCGGATCATGGATCCTGGCAGGGCTGGGCTGGAACCCAGCTCAAAGCTCATCCTCGGGCAGGGACGCCTTGCACTGTCCCAGGGTGCTCCAGGACCCCCAAGATGGATCCATGCCACGGGGAAGGTCCCTGCCAGGGGATAAAGGGTGCCCAGAAGGATTTGGCACCCCAGGGATGGGTCTGGGCCAAGGGAAGGAGTTGGTTCCCCAGGGGTGAGCCCATGGCCAGGGAAAGTTTGTGCCCGGAGCCAGGAGGTGCCCAGGGAGGATTTGGCACCTCAGGGATGTGTCCCTGCCCAAAGGACGTCCGTGCCCAGGGACAGAGGGTGCCAGGGAGGGGTCAGAGCCCCTCGAGGGCTCCACACCAAGGGCACAGGGACAGGGTCTGCTCAGGGAGGGTCTGGTGTCCAGGGGATGGACACACGGACAGCGATGGACCCACGGACAGGGATGGACCCATGGACAGGGATGGACCCACGGATGGGGATGGACCCACAGGTGGGGATGGAGCCACGGATGGGGATGGACCCATGGCCAGGGATGGACCCACGGACAGGGATGGACCCACGGACTAGGATGGACCCACGGCCAGGGATGGACCCACGGCCAGGGATGGACCCACGGACAGGGATGGACCCACGGACGCGGATGGACCCATGGACAGGGATGGACCCACGGACAGGGATGGACCCAGGGACAGGGATGGACCCACAGATGGGGATGGACCCATGGACTAGGATGGACCCACAGGTGGGGATGGAGCCACGGACAGGGATGGACCCACGGACAGGGATGGACCCACGGCCCGGGGGATGGCCCGCTGGGGGTGGGACACCCCGGGGCCAGGTCCCTTCCCCAGGGGACACTTTGCTGCCCTCACTTCTGCTGGTACTCCTTGATGAGCCGCTTGGCCTTGCTGTACTTGCGCTCCAGGGTCTGGTACTGGGCCTGGGTCTCCTTGAGGTGCTCGTCCACGGCCTGGCACAGGTTCTGCGCCTCCATCCAGTACCCCTCCAGCTTCTCCATGCGCTCCTTGTTCTCCTCCACGCTCTGCTCCAGCTGGGCCTTCTCGGCCCTCCAGCGCGCCTTCTCCTGCTCCAGGCACTGCAGCTGGGGACAGCGGGGTCACCACGGGGTGTGGCACAGCCAGGGAGCGGGGTGGGACACGGCACAGCCAGGGGATGGGACATGGCACGGCCAGGGAATGGGACATGGCACAGCCAGGGGATGGGACATGGCACAGCCAGGTGACAGGCAGGACATGGCACAGCCAGGGGATGGGACCTGGCACAGTGTGGCATGACATGGCACAGCCAGGTGACAGGTGGGACACGGCACAGCCAGGGGACAGTGAGGACATGGCACAGCCAGGTGACAGGTGGGACATGGCAGGACGTGAAATGGCCTGGGCAGGGCAGGTGGAGAAGGACATTCAGGGTGCCAGGGCAGCTGTCAGGGTGTCCCCCACCCCCGGGCAGGCAGGACCCCCCCTCACCTTCCTCTTGAGCTGCTGGATCTCAGCCTCGGTCACGGCATGCTTGATCTGGAGCTGTGGGAGAGCCGGGGTGGGCACGGGGTGGGCACAGCCCCCCGGGCGGGCACCCCCTGCCCTCTCCCAGCCCCTCCTCACCTCCTTGAACTTGTGCACCAGCTTCTCGGGGTCCATCTCCACGGGGGACAGCGTGTCCTCGTTCTCGGCCAGCTCGAACACCTCGATGGCCATCTCCCCGCTGGGGAACATGGGGCTCATCTCCTCCTCCTCGTCTGTGGCGTACTCCCCGGTCTGCGGCGGGCACGGGGCGGGGTTGGCACCCGAGGGTCAGTGCCACCCCCAGCCCGTGTCCCGCGGCGCTGTCCCCTCACCTCCTCGTCGTCCTCGGTGTACTGGGTGTAGCGCTGCTCCATCATCTCGCGCTGCCACCGCTCCTGCTCCAGCGTCTGCTGGATCAGCTGCGCCACCTCGCTCTGCTCGCCCGGCTTCTCCCGCCCGATCAGGAACCTGGGGGGCACCGCGGCTCAGGGGGGGACACCCTGGGGACAGCCCTGCAGCTGTCCTGGGAGCGGCGGGCTCAGGGGTGCTGTGGGGCTGGGGGTGAGCTGGGAGCACTTTGGGGGCACCAGGGTGGCACTCCGGGGGGAGATGGGGGACTCGCTGTGGGGACAGGCTGTGGGGCAGGGATCCCGGGGTTCAGCACGGCCCGGGGGGGGTTTTGGGGCTCCCACCCCCCCAAAGCCCAGCTCGTACCGGACACGGCCCTTGGTGTTCCTGAGCACGGAGGCGGCGAAGCTCTGCGTGACCCCCACCAGGCTGGTGCCGTCCACCTCCACGATCAGGTCGTTCACCTGGATCCTGGGGACAAGGGCAGGCTCACAGCCCCTGGCCAGCCCCGGGGCACCCCCGGCCCCGCCGCCCCCAGCCGTACCTGCCGTCCCGGTGCGCCGCCCCCCCTTCCGTCACCGTCTTGACGAAGATCCCCAACTTCTCCAGGCCCATGTCGGCCCCCGCGCCCATCCCGATGATGCTGATGCCCAGCCCTTCCGAGTCTGCGGGCACACAGAGCCGTGTCCTGCCGGGCTGCCACCCCCAGGGCGCCCTGGGGCTCCCGGGGATGGCTCTGGGGGCAGGACCCACCTTTCTCCAGCTCCACGGGGAAGAGGTCGAGCCTCTCCACCCTCTTCTCCAGCTCGTACTCGGCCGAGGCCGCCATGGGATCCACGTCCTCATTCCGGCGGTCGTAATCCTCGTTGGAGTAAGTGCTGAACACCTGGGGGCACGAGGCAGGGCTCAGCCGGGGGGCAAAACCCCACGGTGCCCCCCAGGAACGAGTGGGGGTCCCACTGGGGTGGCACCGAGCCAGAGAACCCCGGAGCGAGGGGGAGCTGGGGAAGGACAAAGGGGTTGAGGGTGGCTCAGGGACAGGGGACACCCCAAAGCCCCCCTGGGCCCCCAGGCTGGTGCCATGCCCTGCCCCGGAGGGCTGTGGGGAGGGGCTGGCCAGGCCTGGCAGATGTCCCTGGAGGGGCCCCAGCCCCTCGGTGCCGCCGGGAGAGTGGATTAGGGATCACCCACGGGATAAAGGCCAGCCACAAAGGGAATTAGGGCCGAGTGGCAGGGGACAAAGCGCGGTGACACCCACGGACCCAGCCGTGTGGCAGCTGGGGCTGGCAGGGAGCAGCAGGGCAGGGGACAGAACCATGTGCCCCTGGCCACGGGAAGTCCCTGGGGGGCTGTGGGGGTCCCCTGCTGTGCCCCCCACCCTGTCCCGGGGTCCTGGGGGATTTGGGATGTGGGGAAGGGGCTGCAATGTGCCCCCAGTGCTGCGCTGGGTGGGTGTCCCCAATGTCGCCCACCCCCCACAGTGGGGTTGGGGGGTTCAGCATCACCCGGGCAGGGGGCTGGGCTGCTCTAACGCCTGGGTGTCCCCCCCACCCACCCCCACGTGCCCCCCCCCAATTGAGAGGCTTTGGGTTGAGCAGAGCATCCCAAAACCCCTATTCATGGGGTGAGCAGAGCATCCCAAAACCCCATCCATGGAGTGAGAAGAGCACCCCAAAAATCCCATCTACGGAGTGAACAGAGCACCCCAAAATCCCATCTATGGAGTGAGCAGAGCACCCCAAAACCCCACCCAGGGCCAGGGCACCTTGCCCAGGGCTGGGCTGGCTCATCCCACGGGACAAGGCCACCCTCGGCCACCCCAGCTCGCGGCCACCCCTGTCCCCGGCGGGCCACGGTGGCTGTCCCCGTCCCAGGTGGGGCCACCCACCCGCTCTGACTCAGAGCCAGAATATAGGCCGGCCTCTAAAAATAACCCGGCACAAAGCAAGCGCTGCTCCTGCGGCCGGGGGGATCCGGGCACACCCCGAAATAGCGGCACGGCCCCTCTATCCCCCCCCCAATCCCGGCTGGAGACCCCCAGCCCCGCAGGATCGCTGCCGGGAGCGGGGGGTGCTGCCGCCCACCCGGCCACGCTGCCGAGGCACTTCCCCTTCCTCCCTTCCTCCCTTCCTCCTCTTCCTCCCCTGCCTCCACTTCCCGAAAGCGTCCTGGGCACCGGCCTGGGCACACGGCGGGGGGCACATCCCCCCCATCGCCACCTCGTCCCCAGGGACCCCCGGCAGGGAGGAGCCCCTGTCCCCAGGGATGCCCCAGCCCCGCACTCCGGGGGGATTTTGGGCATCCCCACCCAAAATATGGAGCGGGTTTGGCCCGGCCTGGGCACGATGGGGGTGCTGTGCTGTGCCCACCACAGCGGGTCCCAGGGCCACCTGTCCCCATCACAGCGGGCTTGGGGGGTCCAGGCATGGCCTTTCATTAATTAGCTCATTAGCCAGGCCCTGGCCCTGCTTCCCCCAGCACAGGGCCAGGGACAGGGCCAGGGCCAGGGATAGGGACAGGCAGGCAGCCCTGTCCCATGGGGGGCACAGGGCATGGGGAACAGACCCCCAGCCCCTGTTTTCTGTCCTTGCCAAAGGGGTGGTTGTGTGGGGGTCACACACGCCAGTCTGGGCTGCCCATCACCCTGGTACCCCTCACCCTGGGTTATCTCCCTCACCCTGGCACCCCTCATCCTGGGATATCTCTCACCCTGGGATATCCCTCATTCTGGGATATCTCTCACCCTGGGATATCCCTCATTCTGGGATATCTCTTACCCTGGTACCCCTCATCCTGGTACCCCTCACCCTGGGGTACCCCTCACCCTGGTATCCCTCACCCTGGGGTACCCCTCGCCCTGGCACCCTCACCCTGGGTGCCCTCTGTCCCTCCCTGCTCAGCCGCCGCCGTGCCCGGCCAGGCTCACCTGGATGGGGGCCGTGCTGAACTGGATCTTGCGGTTGGGGACGGGCTCCTCTTCCTCGGACAGCCCCGGGATCTCCACGCAGCCCGACTCGGGCTCGTACAGCCCTTCGGCCTCCTCCTCCTCCTCCAGCCCGCTGCCCCCCGAGTCCTCCCCGAGCCCGCTGTAGGCACTTATGTCCACCAGGTCGGCCTCGGAGAAGTCCTCCTTCTTGGCCTCCTCGGAGCCATCGCCCTCCTCCGCCCGCTCGCCCTTGACGCCCTCCTCGCCCGCGGCCGCCCCCGAGCCCCCGTCCAGCCGGGGGGCCGCGGGACCCTCGTCCCCTTTGGCAGGTTGGGGCGCGGGCACCGCTTCACCCGCCGCCTCCTCCTCCTCCTCGCCCTCTCCGCTCTCCTCCACCTCCACGGGCTTGATCTTGCAGACCTCCTGCACCCTCGGCGCGGCCGCCTCCTTCTCTGCCGGCCGCCCGCTCTTCCCCGCCGCCTTGTCCTCGTCGGGCGGCCGGGCACGGGCCGGGGCGGCGTGGCCGTCGGCCGGGGCGTCACCCCTGGTGCCAGGCGCGAACACCCTGGGCCGCTTGGCCACCGCCTTGGCGCCCAGCGGCGCGGCCACGCGGCCCTGCGCCTTGTGCAGGTTGTTCCTCAGGTCGGCCTTCTCGAAGACGGCGCTGAGCTGGCTCACGGTGGGCGACACGGCGTCGGCGTCCAGCTTGTCCAGCGACTCGGTGCTGCCGTTGAACCTCACCACCACGTCCAGCTTGCGGTCCTGGAAGCCGGCGCGCTCCTTGCGCAGCAGCAGCTTGGTGCTGGTGGCCTTCTCCTGCGGGCTCCTCTCGAAGATCTTGCGGGTCTCCTGCAGCTTGGAGAAGGGCTTGTCGGGCTTGGAGTCGAAGCGGCTGACGCGCTCCGAGACGCTGGTGCCCAGCTTGAGGAGGCTGCCCTGGTCCACGCCGTCGCCCAGGCTGCCGGCGCGGGGCAGGGACAGGCGCACCGGCTTCTCCTTGGCCTTGGCCAGGTCGCAGGCGCCCTCGGGGCCGGGCGCCGTCCCCATCTGCAGGAACATGTTCTTGATCCGATGCACGTTGGAGCCATACTTCTTGCCGCGGCTCTTCTTGCCGTCCTCGCCATCGGCCTCCTTTGTGGGCGCCAGGGCCTGGATGCTGGCCTCGTAGGCGTTCCGGTGCGGGGACGCGCTGCGCAGCCCCCCGGCGCCGCCGCCGCTGCCCCCGGGCCCCGCTACCGCGCCATGGGCGGGGGGCTGTGCCGGGGGGCTGTGCCGGGGGGCAGCGCTGCCCCGGCCCCGTCAGGCCATGGCCATCCCGCGGGCCCCTCCGCCGCGGCGCTTCTTCCTTCCTTCCTGCCTTCCTTCCTTCCTCCTCCTCCTCCTCCTCCTCCTCTTCCCCTTTCTGCGCGCCGGTGATGGAGCCGCCGCCGCCGCCGCCGCGCTCTGCCCGCCCCGCTGCCCGCAGAGCCCTCTGGGTCTGAGCAGCGCCCGCTCTTCCTCTTCCTCAGCCGCGCTTCGGCCTCAGCGCCGCCGCCGCCGCCGCAGCCCGGCCATGGGGACCCCCGCGCGTCCCCTGCGGACCCCTCCCCTCCCTGCGGCGGGGCCCCCCCGGCAGCCGCGCTGTGCAGTGTGGGGCCCCCCCCGCCCGCACCGCCGCTGGTGCCACCCCCCAGCTCTGAGGAGCCCCTGTCCCCANNCCGTGTCCCCCCAGTTTGTACCCCCACCCTGTCCCTGTGCCCCTCCCGGCTCTGTCCCCGTGTCCCCACTCCCGTCCCTGTGTCCCCCCAGTTTCACCCCCTTGTCCCCCGCTCCCCCTCCCCACGCCCAAAGCCCCTCGGTGTCCCCGCTGTCCCTCGGTGTCCCCGCAGGACCCCGATGTCCCCCCCACCCCTCCGGGGGTGCAGCACATCCCTGCAGCGCTGGCAGGAGGGGACACGGTGACAAGGGCCCGGGCTGGGGGGTACAGTGTGACCCCCAGGGACATTTTGGGGGGATTATTTGCGTTTTTGGTCCTCCCACTGGGTGCCTGAGGGCGAGGGGGGCAGACCCCACCCCCCGGGCCGTGTTGGGGTCCCTGCTGCGGGGGGGGCGGGACACAGGGGACACCCCCGGTCACAGTGAGGGGGCAGCAGGACCCCGCAGATGTGTGACTGTCCCCTGCCCGTGTCACCTCCGGCCCTTTGTGCGTGACGAGGCGTGACGCGACACGGGGGGGCGGCCCCCCACGACCACCCCTCCCTCCCCTTCCGCTGCCATCGCCCCCCCCAGGTCCCCGTCGCTGCCACCCCCTCTGTCCCAGCGCCCTCCGCTCGTGTCACCGTCCCCACGCAGCGCACACCCGTGTTCCCGTCTCGCTGGTGGCCATGCCGGGGGGTCCCGGCTGTCCCCAGGTGTCCCCAAGTGTCCCCCCCCGCCACCCCGCTACCCCCGAGTGGGGGCAGTGGGACAAACCCGCCCTGGGGACACCTCGGGGGGACACGGGAGTCCCTGGGCAGCCCCGGAGCGCCGTGCCTTGGTGACAGGAGGTGGCGGTGCAGGGGTGTCCCCTGTGGGACCCCCCCGAGGGCCCCCCCGGCCCCGCTGCCGCCGTCAATCAGCGCTGGCCCCGCTCCCGGCGCCGCGGACATGGAGGGCCCCGAGCTGCTCCGGCTCTGGGTGCTGGCAGGCGAGTGACAGCCCTGTCACCCCCCGGGGGACACGGCCGGGCCGGGGGCGCGGAGGGGAAGGGGGACCCCCAAGTGGGGGGGACACAGGGGGTGCAGGGGGCGAGGACGGGGGGGACGGGGCTGGGACGTGCCAGAGCTAAAAAAAGCCACCCTGTCCCCGTGCCACGGGGGTGGGACACTGCGGGGACAATGAGAGGGACTTCTGTGTGACACCGGGGCCGGGGAGGGTGCTGGGGCCATCCTGCCCTTGTCCCCATCCCGTCCTGTCCCCTGCCCTGTCCCTGTCCCCATCCTCCCTAAACCTCCTCCTGCTCTGCCTGGGGACACCTGGCACTGAGGGGACACATGGCACTGAGGGGACACCTGGCACTGAGGGGACACATGGCACTGCGGGGACACCTGGCACTGCGGGGACACCTGGCACTGAGGGGACACTTTGACACTTTCCTGCCCCTCTGAGAGTCCCAGGGGTCTGTGGGCGCTGGGGAAACTGAGGCAGGGAGGGGCCGCGGTCGCAGCCCTGGCTCCAGCCCCGCGTGTGGCCGCAGCCCTGGCCCTGGCGGTGTCCCCGGTCACTGTCCCCGAGCACCACGTCCTCCCCGACCTCCGCCTCTCCGCCGAGACCGGGGCCATCTTCGTGCACGAGCTGGAGCGGGAGCCCTTCCTGGAGGCCTTCAGCGGCAGTGAGGATGATGATGGTGAGGGCCAGGCCGGGGGGCTGGGGGTGGTAAAAGGGGCGGCGCTGGCCAATGGCCCCCTCCAGGACCACCCAGCAGGGCTGTCTGTCTGTCCATCCGTCCTCTTTGGGGCTCCCTCTGCTTTGGGCTCCCCCGTGAGGGCTCCCCTCTCTTTGGGGTCACAGCCCAGACCCGGAGCAGCACCCCCAGGGGCGATCCCTTTGTGGGACCACGCCTGGGGTGCCCGTGCCCACGGCCGTGTCCCCGCAGCCCCCGTGACCTTCCGTGCCCACCTGTGGCAGCGGCCGGACCTGCCGCGGTGGCTGCGCTTGGCCCAGCGCGGCCCCGGCCAGCCCGGCTTCCTGTACGGCTGCCCACTGCCCCCCGAGCTGGGCACCCACCGCCTCCAGGTACGGCCCGGGCTCGGGGAGGGCACGGCAGCGCGGCCGGAGCACGGCTGGCCATGCCAGGTGTCCCCTGTGTCCCCTCAGGTGCTGGCCTACAACCGGCGCACCTTCGCCACCGCCAGCCAGCGCCTCGACATCGGGGTCACCCCCGCCCCAGGTACGGCTGGAGAGAGCCAGACCCCCCCGGGATGGCCCTGTGGTGTTCACGGGGTGTCCCCACAGGTGCCACCTGTCCCTGCAGCTGGGGAGACATTCTCCGTGTCACCTGTGTCCCCCTGTGTCCCCCATGTTCCCCGTGTTCTCCTGTTCATTGGTGTCACCCCCACCTCAGGTATGGCCACGGTGGCCCAAACCACCTGAGATGGCCCTATGGTGGCCACAGGGTGTCCCCACAGGTGCCACCTGTCCCTACAGGTGGAGAGACATTCCCCGTGTCCCCTATGTCCCCCCATGTTCTCCCGTGTCCCATGTTCCCCGTGTTCTCCTGTTCATCGGTGTCACCCCTGCCCCAGGTATGGCTGGAGCACCCCAAACCCCCCGGGATAGCCCCGCGGTGGCCACAGGGTGTCCCCACGAGTGCCACCTGTCCCCGCAGGGGGGGAGGCGCCGTTCCAGGCCGAGTTCCTGGTGGGCAACAGGGACGTGGAGGAGCTGCTGCCGGAGGCGGCGCGGGAGATGTTCCTGGAGGCCTCGGCCGGGCTCTGGGAGCGCGGGGACCTGCACGTCATCAACGTCACCTCCGCCCTGGACCGCGGGGGCCGCGTGCCGCTGCCCATCGAGGGTCGCAAGGAGGGGTACGGGCAGGGCCGGGGGGGTCCCGGGGACATCCCGGGCCCCCCGCAGGGGTTTTGGGGTCAGCGGCGGGGGTGAGCGTGGCCCTGTCCTCACGGGCCGGGTTTGGGGTGGCTGTGCCCAGGGTGTACGTCCAGGTGGGCTCCCACAGCCCCTTCTCGCCGTGCCTGCTGGCGGCCGTGTCCCCGCAGAGCCGCGCGCGCTGTCACCGCGGCCAGCGCCCCCTCGCCTCCTGCTACGACACCTTCGCGCCCCACTTCTCCATCCGCTGGTGCAACCTCAGCCTGGTGAGACCCCCGTGTCCCCCCGTGTCCTCTGTGTCCCCCCGTGTCCCCCCGTGTCCCCCCGTGTCCCCAGCCCCCCCAGCCCCTCCTAACCCCCTCCCCTGCAGCTGCAGGTCGTGCCCAGCCCCCGCACGCCGGGGCCCGAGTGGGGGCCGGGGGTGCTGGAGGGCGGGGGCGATTTCGAGCCCCCCGGCGATGTCGCCCCCCGGGAGCTGCTGTCGCCCTTCCTGGTGACGCTGCTGGTGCCGCTGGCGGTGGCCGCGCTGCTCTGCCTGCTCCTGGGCCACCTCATGTGCTGCCGCAGGGAGGGAGTGTGAGTCGGGGGGGGTCCCCCCACCCTGCCGGGCCACGGGGACCCCGGCCCGGGTGTCCCTTCCCCGGTTCTTGCGACCCCGGGGCAGCCCGGGGGGATGAGAGCCCTTCTCACCATAAATAATGGGTTTTTCCTTTTTTCTTCTGTTTTGTAGGGAAAAACGCTCAGCCCTCACTTTTGGGGGTGCAGACCCCAATAATGGTATTCAGACCCCACTGAAGGGTGAGCAGACCCCAGTGATGGGGTGCAGACCCTCATTTTGGGGTGCAGACCCCAGTAACAGGGAGCAGACCCTCATTTTGGGGTGCAGACCCCAGTGACAGGGTGTAGACCCCCATGACGGGGTGCAGACCCCAGTGACAGAGTACAGACCCTCATTTTGAGGTGAACCTCCCAATTTTGGGGCGCACACCCAAACACCGGCTGTGCTGACCCCAGTGACGGGACGGGGACCCCGGCGAGGGGTCCCCGGGGGGGCCCGGGCTCCATGGCGCGCTGTCCCCGCAGCCTGCAGCTGTTCCACCACGGCTCCATCCTCGGCGACACGCGCGAGCTGCGGCTCATGGCCGGCCGGCGGGACGTGCCCCGGCCGCTCTCCACGCTGCCCATGTTCAACGTCCGCACGGGCCAGCGCACCGACCCCATGGCCAGCGCTCGCCACGGGGCCCGCGCCCCCCTGCTCCCACCCTGAGGGGACCCCCGAGCCGCGGGGACAGCGCCAGAGCTGGGGACGGCGTGTCCAGGGGGGTCTGGGGGGACAGAACCCCCGCGGGGAGGAGGAGGAGGAGGAGGAGGAGGAGGTGCGGGTCCGGCTGGGCTCTGCCCGGAGGGTTTGGGGTGTCGCCGCTTTCGGGTGAATTTCGGTGCATAAATGGAGTGTTCAGTGATGAAATGAGGCTGCTCTGCTTTATTTGCCGGGTAGGTTTGGGGGTGCTCAGCCGCGACCCCCCCCAATCAAAACTCACAACCCGGGGTGGCTCTGAGTGACCCCCCAGCCCCGCGGGGGGACAGAGCGGTGACAAAGGGGGGGACACCCTCCCAGAGCCCCGCCGTGCCCCCCCAGACCCCCCCAGCTCACCTGGCAGTGCGTGTCCCGCTGGATCCCCCCGCAGCCCCCGAAGGCTCGGCGCTCTCCGCTCGGACCCGGCGCCCCCC